CCTATCTCCCTGGCTTCTAATAGACTTTAAAGGCAGAGATGCAGCAGGCAAAGGCCCTGAGCCAGGCTGCTGGCCAGCCCCTAAAAAGTTTACTGGCGGGGGAGGAGGGGAATGCAGTCTATAGCAATAACATATAAGCTTTTTCTTATTTATTAACTGACTTCATTATTACATCCCTATCCTAGACATTAGGGGACATAACATTTAGATGGGGGAAAAAATAAGAGTTTCAAGAAAAATATTCATTAACTCATTTCAGCATATGTTCCTAGGTATGCAATATAGTTCAGAATCCTATGTAGTCTTTCAGGTAGCAATTGGCAACCAGATTGTTTAGGGGAAGAGGGAAGAAATAGGAATGAAAAAAATATTTTCCTTTTTATTCCCCAAGCTCACTAGATTACCTGAGCTACAACATATCTGTGTCCTCCTAGTGATAGTAAGTGAAGACTGTCAGCAGCTCCTTTGAAAGCAGCTGTTGGGAGTTTAAATGTCTCCCTTAGCCCTATGCGAATTTCCTTTTCCCTCAGCACAGATTAACATATAATAAGGTAAATCAGAGCAGAACTTCGTAGGGGAACACACACACACACACACACACGGATATGATCTTGTGCAAGGGGCCCCTCTTAGTAGATTCCCCCAAGCAAAGCACTTCCTAGAAATAACTGCAATTACTCCCCAGCTTTACAGAAACTGGAGCCTAGTGGCTGTTTATTCCAGCTTCTGCACTTTCACGGGACAAGGCCAATTTTGGGACACCAGACACCCCAGGACATGTTTTCTTGGAAAGAGTTAAGTATTCAGTCCCACAATTTAGTTTTCCCAGCCTCGGCTGCAGACCCATTTCCCCTTCTACAGTACTGCTGCTCCCAACAGGCTACAGGAAGCAATGGAATCTGATCTGATGTAGCAACAGGGATTTCCAGGATTCCACACTGACCATGGCTTTAGATCAGGAGTGGGGAACATTCGGTCCCCGTCTAGCCTGGATCCAGCCCCCGAGGCTCCTTCACCCTCCCTCCTGCCCAGACCCAACATCTCAAATCAATTTCCTGGCTATCCTCTCCAGGCACTGAATCCCTCATTTTTTACCCCACCCTAGAGCCAGGGGGGGCTCACAAAATGTGTTAGCCCAGGCACCCCAAAGGTCTGGTGCATGAGAGCAATGTGAGGAGTGTCTTTCTGCTTCTTAGTCAGGGGGTCACATCAGTGACCTGGGGGGGGGGATTTTACTTTTGTGTCGCTCCCGACTAATTTTTCTGTGAGCCAGCAGCCCCGGACACAAATTGCCAAGAATTTAATCTCTGTAACCATGATTTTCCCAAATTCTCCCACCCTAGCAACAGAAAGCAGATCTCTGTGTAAACAGAAATGTAAAGCCCAGGCATGATAAAAACATCTTCATTTATAATCTTCAAAACATAAAAGCTCCTCAAACATTAAACTAAAAATTAACTTTTCTAACACCTTGACCAACAACCTCTCCATCCACTACATTCTCTGCCTCTCTGGTGAAATGGGGCATGATGCAGTATCGCCTGTGGCACTCAATAAGTAATGTGTTAGATACTCAGTGTGCAGAGATACAGCCTTAGCACTAGTGTACTGACAAAGTTATTAAAAAGGAAGATTGAGAGAATCAGGACAGAGAAATCTACCACACCAATGAAATTTAAGTCAAGAGAGACTCCGTCATTCATAAGAGCAATGGCTGTTCTCTGAAGCTGAAAAAAAGAATGAATGAAAAAGACTTCAACTATATAAAGACGCAACCATAGCAAAATCCCTCCTCTTCTAAACAGAGGCATATACAGTGCCTTGAAATTAATAATCACCATATGAATGGACTCTCCCTTCTGACTGAATAAAGCTTGGAGCAGCTGCTCTATAAAGGAAACTGTCTTCCTTGGATTCTGGAATATAAACTGCCCTTCATTATTTATCAACATCCAAAACCCCTCAATAAACACCTTATCACTTCATCCTTCCTACCAACCAAGACAGCCCATGCATCAAAAGGTACAAAAGGTACTCCTCCTCCAAAACCCAAAGTGGGTAGGCAACCACCCATAGCAAATATCTCCAATTCGAAAACAAAGACAGCCCAAAAATGAGAAAAATATAGAGAATCCACTGACTCAGTGAAGGGGGCAGGGGAAGCCACTGGACCATAGGCTACAATACACAACTCCAGAGGAAAAAAATACAGAGTTCCCTAGAGACACTTCCAGAAACATACACTCTAATTATTTTGAGATCCAATAGGCACTGGAGCGAGTGTATAGTGACTTCCCTTCCCTTTTCAGTTATAAGAGAGAGACACTTCAGAAATCCTAGCACTCCCAGAAGCAGAAACTGACAGCCCCACAGGGCTCCAGAGTTGCCAGGCCCACCCCACCCCGGAAATCTTACACTTGCCCAGGTCCTAGGAGCATACATACAGTTCTCAAGGCATCTGCAGACCTGATGAGACGGGCACTCCCAGGTCCCAAAACACTCACAAAAGAACTGGAGTAAGAGCCCAGTCCCCCTTTGCCCTCCTATTTCCTGAGCTGGAACAAAGCCCCTCCATTGCAAGCACGGCCCTAAACCCCAAGATCCCCCAGCCCGAGAGCAGGAATCCAGCCCACAGAAACTGACTCGGAAGGGAGACAACGGGAGAGCCACACCCCCTCGCGGCCGTCCACCTCCGGAGTAGGAACCGAGCCAGCACGTCTCCAGGTTAAGGCCAGGAACACACAGCCCTGCCTCGCCCCTCCCCCCCCTCCAGGGCTGGGCAGATGCCCCGGCGACAACTCCTACCCCCAGGAGCCAGGTCCCATCTCCAGGGACAAGGCAGACACACCCCCACGCTAGGGCCGGGAAGAACGGGGCCCCTAACCCCCAGCACAGACACGCACGCACCTCGGAGCGACCCCCCAGGAGCCAGGCCCGGTCTCCAGGGTCAAGGCAGGCAGGCAGGCAGGCAGGCAGACACGAAGCCTGGGCCGTAGCCCGCTGCTACCTGGCACGACACCCCCCTCCACACACACACCTCTGGCCCTGCTTCCCAGGAGCCAGCCCCA